TGAGGTTGGCAGTGGCCCACCTCTATCACCCCGTCTCAGACTACTTGTACCTAGGGAAGGGTAACAGCAAACACTGGATCTATAGAATATATTCCATAGGAGCCAACTGTGTTTGGTGCCTCTTCAGTCTCAAAGAAGGAATCTAAAGATGTATAAAGGTAACTGACAGGTGGACATGGAAAAGTTGCTCACTAGTTTCTCATTAAAGGGGATTAAGGAGACGTACATAGAAAATTACCAGCTAAATGAGCAGAGGCAAATAAAAGCTAAGAGAAGGGAACAGCTTTCCCATGGGTTTTTTAAATAAACTATGGAACTCATTATCACAACATGTTAAAGAGATTAAGAACTAAAGCAGGTTCCCAACAGGAAGAAGCAAATTCAGCCAATGGTCTTGCTGATCTCCTGGGATGGGACTGACACAGAACTAGGGAATCAAAATTAAAAAAAGAGAATTCGCACTAAAACCACCCCCACCATGCTGCTCCTTCAAAATAAAGGAACTGGAAGGAGAGGAGAAAACTGAATAGCCAAGACAAACACAACGGAGTGAGCTAAAAACCTGAGTTTGGCCAAGGGATCTAGGAAGCTCTAAAACCTGCTGCCCGGAGGCCACCCCCAGGCTGAGCCAAAGCAGCACCCACCGACTGCCTGAACTGGAAACTCAAGGAGGTGCGGGCATGAAATGAGTTCTGCTATGCAGCGAACCTCAGAGCGGCCTTTCGACATGAGAAAACTCCACTCACCCTATCTACTGCCAGCGGTCACAAGGTAAACGAGGGAAGCAGGACTCTGCCTTTCAGCGCGAGGCTGCAGATGCTGCCCGCGGCTGGTAACGCACCTGCTTCGGCGTGAGGACAACCCGACCGCACGCTTCAAACTCCACAACCGGTTCAGAGATCACGTTAACGCAGCAAATGAACAAAGAAGCAAAGGCTGCCAAAGTCAGCTGAGGCCTGAAGTCCAAGGAAGTAGCCGAGAGAATACTTTTGGCAAGGAACTCATCAAGTAGTGCAGCTTCTAAAGGCAGCAGCACGCTGGCTCCAGAAAATGCCAGATTTGGGGGTTTATGACTCCTTACGTTTGTGCCTCCTCGGTGCAGCAGGAGACCTCCGGAGCGCTCAGGGGACAAACAAAAACACTCACAACATTGTCAAAGCTGGGCTCTCCTTGGTGGCCTCCTATGCAGATGCCAATACCTCTCAGCTTCATTAACATGGCTATTCCGACTGTTACCACAAGCTGGCCTGACAGCTTTGAAGTATGAGAGACTTACTGCCACCCCTCTGAAAACCCTTCAGTCTTTTTTTTTTTAAACACAGTCCTAAAGCAGTTGAATACATTTAAAAACTTAACATGTTAGACTCCTTCCATCCATCATTAAAATGCCAACATACCTGTCACACCCAAAACCACAAGAACAATCATTTATTCTGGTTTTCTGACAGTTATTTTACTGTCAGTTTAGAATGATAAACCTGGACACTCATTAACACTTTCCCAGCGGGCTTCATCTCACGAAGTCACGGCATTCAGGAATCTAAGCACTCTCTTAATAAAGAGGAAGAGGTTATAAAAGCTTCGTTTTTAAATACTTCCAGGGAGGGATACAGACAGAAATGCAACTTTGAGATCTGGATACCCCCACTTTCTCTAAGTGTGATTCTGGCTGAGGTTGTGCTGACCCTTGGCAATTGTGCTGGCAGAGGAGCTGGCTGGTAATCGCGATCTCCCACCGTCACCAGAAGCAAGTTAGCAGGAGCCGTGTCAGCCCGGCACTCAGCCATTCTGCAGAGTGATGGCACTCTGGGACGGTAGGAGCACCCATCTTCTGCCTCAAATCTATCCCCCAAGGCTCTTCTTGCCATAGTTATCTAAGAAAACCATCCTTCAACCCTCCATTTGGTCCCACACTAAGCTCAGGAGACGACGCAGATCAACATCAGACACGCGCCCGTCTCCAGAGCGAAGCAGCGAGTGCCCGCTGCGTGCTGTCACCTCGTCCGTCACCACAGGTACTTCTGACTGCACTCGGATCAGACGAGGTACAAACACGCTACAGTTCAAACACCCCAGCACGAGTTTCAACAGCCAAGCACCCAACGGCCGCTTACCACGGCTGAGGTGTCCCCAGGCAGAAACCCACAAGCATCCCCGTTCTGTTCTGCAGGAGACCTCTTCTTTCTCTACATACACATTTTTTAGAAGATCTCACGATGCTGCACTGGGAGCAGCATTGAAAGCAGACAGAAAACAGGAGAGGATTGTAAAAAGCCAGAACCACAGATTCTTTTTAACCCTGGCAACGTTACCACCCTGCGGATGACAGCCCGCATCTGGTCATCACAGGCGACCCACCTAGAGAGAGCTGCTCGCCTGACTTCCCCTCACCACCGCTCCTGCCACACTCACCTCGCCTGAGTAACTGTATTTCCCTTTCAGGATCTGCCGGTACAAGCGAGTGCGGTTGTCGTCTTCAAAGGGCATCGTGCCGCTCAGGAGAATGTAGGAGATGACGCCCAGCGCCCACATGTCCACAGAGTTCGTGTACGGCTTCCTGACCAGGATCTCGGGAGCAATGTACTCCGGGGTCCCACACGTGGTTTTCATCAGGCAGTCGTCTCCCTTCTTCCGAGCGCTTGCCAGCCCAAAGTCCGTGATCATGATTTTGGAATCCGTTCCGGGATGGTAGTAGAGCAGATTCTCCGGTTTTAAGTCCCGGTGCGTGATGCCCAGCGTATGTAAGTACTTCACGCCATCTAACACCATCTGCAGCACGCGCGTCGCGTCCCTCTCCGTGAAGGAACCTTTAGCGATGATGCGATCGAACAGTTCCCCGCCGGTCGCCAGCTCCATCACCATGTACACACGGTCCTGGGTCTCGAACACCTCGATAAGCTGGATGATATTGGTGTGGCGAACGCGCCGCAGCACGCTGAGCTCTGACTCGCACACCTCCCTCCCCTCCCGGTATTTGGTCTCGATCATCTTGATCGCGTAGGGCTGCTTGGTTGCCTTGTGTTCCACCCGTACCACGCGGCTAAAACTCCCTCTTCCAATCAGGGCTTTAATGTCATACTTGGCCGTCACTCTGGGGTCAAATTTGGCGCGGTACTTAGCCACTTTGTTCTTGCGGGGCTCGGGCTGGTCCACGTGGGCAGGCAGGTGGTTCCCAGGATACGGGTTGGTGTGATGGAGAGGTGAGGGAGAACCAGCTTTGATGACAGTGCCACAGTCATCTTTGATGAAATGCTTGTATATGTCATTGTGGCCTGTGTAGGGCTCGACTTTTTTAACCAGGTCTAGCTGCACATCTTTGGGGGGCTCGGGAAGCACTTTGCTTGTCCCACAGCCCATCACTGAATGGTGTTAATTCCTTGTCAAGGCATTTTCCCTGGGCAGCATCAGCAGCAACCACAGCCGGGGCGATTCCCACGTTTGAACCTTCAGAAAAGGATGAGAAGAAACAGGTAAATAGGAATCAAGACAGGAACGTTTCAGCCTGGGGCTGGGGGAAAGGAACAGAGCCATGCTACCGCGAACTAAGAATCTGGGATTTCACTGTACTGCAGAGCGTGCACGGTGCTTTGCTGCTTTCATCACAAGCTGGGAAGACAGAGCCTGTAAAACGCGGTCGGAACAGATGCCCATGGAAACCCCCCAGTGTCGCCTTCTATTGAGCGCAGTCTGCTGAACACCCCCAGCTGAGCACCGAGGCACAGCCTCGCAGAACGGCCGAGGTGGGACCAGACCTCTGGAGGTCCAGTCCAGCTCCAGTTGCTTAACAGAAATCAAATTAAGGAGAGTCGAGCATTCTCTTTAATTTTGGTTAATCTGCTCAACTTCGTAAGACATCGGCCACTCTGAATTTTACTAATTTGGAAATTTCTCACTAGAAACTCCCTGAAGCATCTCAGCAACTTGTTCATTTAACAAGTCTTCCTAAGACTTTCCTTATATTGAAGCTGTACCCGTGTCTTAAACCTCTCACTACTGCGTCCCTGGGAATCAAGGGAACCGCACAGGAGGCAGGGAATACAGAGACAGCCACACTGATTTCAAGACCCATTTTACCACCTAACTCACTGCATCCTGTGCAAAAAGACAGCCCTTATCTAACCAGAGCAGTTTTTAGCTAGCAACTCCCTCACCCTCCAAACCCTAAGAAATCAAGGTGGGCTTTGACACATCTTAACATCCTGACTCAGCTTTGCTTTCTCTGCATCTTCAGCTACCAAGCAGCACATTTGGTCTTCCCTCTGGAGCTGGATGTAGGAAGTGTTGTTCTAGACTAGAGCAAAGGGAGGTTCCAACAGGACCAAATCAGCTGCACTTTGGCAAGTCTTTCGGTGCTGATTAAAACAGTGTGGCTGGCTAGGAGCTGGAGAAGCTGCCTGTATGCACTCTGGCAGTTAGCCCAGTATTTCCACTCCCTGGCTCACGGCCCGTCAGTGTGGTGCCTGAGCCTTCACAGGAGGCCACTGCAAAGCCGTTAGCCTTGAAACGTAATCGCAGGCCTTACCATCACCGAGCGTGTCTTCACTCATTCACCACCTCTCCAAGCGACTCTTCAGCACAAAGAGCAGAACCAGCTGGTCTTCCATCGGGGGAATTACGTGGAGAAACAGTTTAGAGGGATACCCAGAAGAAGTTTAGACACTACAGCCAACCTGGAAAGAAAATAAGGCTTTAGTTAAGAGTCAGTTTTAAAATCAGACAACAAAGGAACTCCTCATGGAAGACCCCCTGGCAGTACCGCAAAGCTAAGCACACCAGCTGCGGACAAACGTGACGACACTAAAGTGCAAGCAGCAGAAATATAAAACAACTGCTTAGAGAGCTTAACTGACTTTCACCAAGGTCTATCCTGCAACTCGGTGTTCATTCGGATTACAGTACCCTGAGAGAAAACTAAATAAATCACTGCAGCTCGTCCTGAACAACGCCTCCCGCTGAGTTTTTCCCAGCATTATTGTACCTTAAAGCATATTATGTTCACAGAGAAAGGGAATAAGAGCAAACAGTAATTCCACATGTAGATAAGCACTTGCATAAAATGTCTCTCCCATATACAAAACCAGTGAGAAGAACAAAACACTGAGCTTGAAAACATCCTAGATAAATCCACTAATAACAGTAACTGAGATCAGTCATCAACTACCAGGGTCAGCAGCTCATCCTCGTACGCGTAAGGGTCTCAGCGAAGCCTACAGAACCCAAGCTGCCCGCCACAGCCAGCAACAAAACACTTAAGTCCACGTCAGTGCAGGTGGAAATGCTCCTGTATAACAATCACCAGGAGTTCAGGAGAAGGAACTAACGTATTAGAGAAACGGAAGCGGTTACAAGCCCACTCTGAGCAGGAAACCGCACACTGGGCAGGTGCCATGCTGAGAGAGGACAGCACGTCTGAGCTGCGGCTGGGAGGGGCGAGAAGGAACGTCAGGTTTCCGCTTCAGCGTCTCCCTGCCTCTCTCCTTGGACAACCAGCACGTTGCACCCCGCGGCTCTGCAGGCCAACACCCCAACTCCTGCAGATTCCTGACCTGGGAAGCGTCCTGCCCCTCTCTGAAAAAAAATCAGGGCCTTAACGGTTTAATACCTGAGGATGTCCCTGCGGATAAGGGGTGTCAGCCACCTGACTTACCCACCCGAGGCCTAGCAGGCCTTCCACCACCAACTGAATATCTCACAACTTGAACCTATTTCATTCTGCTTTTCTATGAGATGCCAGAAAGGAAAACTGAAGATACCAGCTCTTCACTGCATTAAGAACTGCTCACCCACAGCAACCTCCAAATCACACCTACACCAACGCGCCAGTCCTGAAAGCATTGTGCCTTTAGTTGTACCAGTAAATCTCAAATGTGCTTCTTACTGCCGGACATAAATCTGCTACTACCAGCCGTCTGGCTGCACTGGAAGCCTTCGGGATGTTTCTGAGGTGAAACCCGGGGCTGGGGCTGCTGCAGCACTCCAGGCAGCTGTGCCGGAGCTGGTGGCAAGCCAGAATCGGTCAAACCAACTGGGATCTCCAAAATTCTGACTGTTTTTCATAACTCATCCCGAACTAGGCCGTTTTTCCTCCACCCTTTCCAGGGAGGGGACCC